AGAACCAGAGTGGGCCCTGTGGTGTTGAATTGGAATTGTAGGAATCAGTGTGAACTCATGGACTTCAAAATATACAGGTAGACCTAGAAATAAATATAGTTATAAATGTATGTGTGTCCACTAGCCTGGGCGCAGTGATATGCCAACAGCAATGAGCTCACCCAGCACCCAGGGCTTGGCTTCTAAACACCGCATTTCACTACAAGGAACCAAGGCTCTTTGGTTAAGGGCCTGATTCCAGGGCTGGGTCATGGAGAGTATAAGATGAGCCACAGCTATTTTGTGCCAGAAAGCAAGGGGAGTTGAAAGAATGATGAGGAAAAGTCAAAGGACACAGGAGCCAGCTTGGATGGGCTCCCAGTGGCCACTGATAATGAGTAACAATAATTGTCTCAGCTCAGGCTGCCATAACAAGGCACCTTAGGATGAGTAGCTTAAACAACTAAAACTTATAGTTCTGGAGACTGGAAATCCAAGATCGAGGTGCCAGAAAATTCAAGAAGCCTCTCTTCCTGACTTGCCCTTCTCTCTGTGTTCTTACATGACTTTCCCCCTGTGCTCCTGTGGTGACAGCAAGACCCAGCTTTCTCTCTCTCTCTCTCTTTTTATTTTATGTATTTATTTATTTTTGAGACAGAGTCTCACTCTGTTTCCCAGGCTGGAGTGCAGTGGCGTGATCTTGGCTCACTGCCTCAGCCTCCTGAGTAGCCAGGATTACAGGTATGTGCCACCAGTCCCGGCTAATTTTTGTATTTTTAATAGAGACAGGGTTTCACCATGTTGGTCAGGCTGGTCATGAAGTCCTGGACTCAAGTGATCCGTCTGCCTCAGCCTCCCAAAATGCTGGGATTACAGGCACGTGTCACCACACCCAGCTAATTTTTGTATTTTTAGTAGAGACAGGATTTGGCCATGCTGGCCAGGCTGGTCTGGAACACCTGACCTCAGGTGATCTGTCTCCCCACCCTGTCTCTTTCCCTCCCTCCCTCTGTCTTCCTCTTCCTATAAAGGCACTGATAGGCTGGATGTGGTGGTTTATGCCTGTAACTCCAGTACTTTGGGAGGTGGAGGCAGGCAAATCACTTGAGGTCAGGAGTTTGAGACCAGCCTGGGCAACACGGTGAAACTCCGTCTCTACTAAAAATACAAAAATTAGCTGGGTGTGATGGTACACATCTGTAATCCCAACTACTCGGGAGGCTGAGGTGGGAGGATCACTTGAGCCCAGGAGGCAGAGACTGCAATGAGCTGAAATGCTGAAATGGCACCACTGCACTCCAGCCGGGCCACGGAGTGAGACCCTGTCAAAAAAAAAAAAAAAAAAAAAAGCTAGGCCTCATTGAGAAGGTGGCATGTGAGTGAAACCTTGAAGGAGGTGAGAGACTGAACTAAGCAGATTTCCTGGAAAGAGCGTTCTCTTAGAGAACAGAATCCAGGACAGGAGCTTGCCTGATGTGTTCAGGAGCAGCAGGGAGAACTGTAAGTGAGCAGGAGGGAAGGAGGAGAAGTGGAGGCCGGAAGGAGAGTGTGGTGTGAACACACGAAGGTGTTGAGAAGGACTCTGGCTCCTGCTCTGGCGAGTCAGGCACCTGCTGAGGATTTTGAGCAGAGGAGTGACATGATCTGACTTGGCTTTACAAGAATT